TAAAAGCGATCAGTAGTAATAGAATAAACAGTTTAAATTTTTTATTCCTTTCGATTACATTTAATTATTTACTTTAAATATATTGTACTTACTTGTTGGGGCTTTATAAAAATGTTAATTACACGATTTCTTTCGAAAATATGTAAACATGTATGCAACACCGATGGTTTTTATTTTTTTTTTTTAATTTTATTATAATAAAAATTTAAATATGCGTTCATGTTTTGAAACACAGTACGAATTCATATACATATGTACATAATTTCGAATAGCATAATGTAACCAGTGTTGGATTCAAAAATTAATCCGAATTCGGATGTAAAAAACCTGCACTCCCAAAATCGGAGATTTTAATTAAAATTCAAAATTCCTATCATATTTCAGAAAGTTACAAGAGCAGCTTACGTGACTTTGGAAGCTCATGGCGACCATAATTGCTTACGGATTTGTGTCAAATTTTGTTAGTGTTTTCAGTAAGGTTTGCCATTTCGTCATGCCACGTTTCACTTTCGTACAACCTTTGGAAATTGTTCCAGACTATTAAGCAAATGGTGGCTACTGTATTTTAAATCATCTTCTGAGATGAGGCCCATTTCTGGGTTAATGACTTCGTCAACAAACAAAATCGTCGCTATTGGATCGACGCGGACGATCTCTACTTCCATCAAGACGGTGCGCCGCCTCATGTTTCACGTCTAAACATGAACACATTTCGTTCAAAGTTTGACGACTCCGAAATTCTAGCCGAAATGCTGCACTGGGTCCACGAAAATTGACGCAAACGAGTAGAGATATGCAAACGGAGCCGTGGTGGCCATTTGGCCGACATTTTATTCAAATCATAAATGGCATAAAATTATCTGCATAACAAACAAATCATTTTGACCAAATTTTAGTGTTTTATTTCATTTTAACGTCACGTCCTTCTTGTTGGTAGACTCTACACTTTTAATATACATATATTTTAATTTAACGTCATTTACAACAGATATTTCATTTAAACCAGTTAATTATTTAGATTAGAACGGTTGGTCAATCGCTCAGAGACTAGGGGTGTTACGCTTCAAATACTTCCTCAATTTTGCTTTCAATACGCGCTTGCTTTCTTTCATTGTAGATATCATGCATTTGAAGTTGTAGAATTCTTATTTGCCCCCATCTATGGAATTGGCGACTATTTAATTCTACAATAAATCGAACAACATTCTTCTCATACACAAAACTTGGTTGAAACATAATTTGTGAAATAAACGAATTCGACAGCACCAATCTCAAGATATGGTTTATATATTATTGCAAAAATAATCTATATTGAATAATTTCGATTTATCCTCATAGAGACTGTCTAATCCAAGTCCAGTAATTTATATAGATATAACCATTAATCGGGCTTATACTTAGCTATACTTCATATAATTTTAAAACTAACAACATCGTTCTTTGTTGATAAATATATGATATACGATGTTTCACAAATTAATAATACAAGTATAATAAAGAAAATACACATGTATATTAACTTATATATTGTATCAATTCAAGGACAACACTTACAAGCAATAACGTTTAATTGATTTTCTTTGACTTAATTGTTAATATATATATTTTTTTAAACGTATTACTAACTTTAAAACCAACGGTTACAGAAGTTATAGTTCTTTACACTTCGCTGTTATCATCTACATCGACGATGACGTCACTATCGCGTTGGACATTGTCGTAGACATCAGCCCAATCGGACTTGTAGATTTCTTCTGACCGTGTGTGGAAGTGGACGTAGACGCGGATTTTAAAAAAACCGAAAAAGCGCACAATCGAACGGAGATTCGAATCTTCTTTTTGGAAGCGAAAACATGGAATGGAATCAGATATTGCTGGCTGCTGTATACAATAACTCTTACCCATTGATGACGACCAAAATTGATTTAATGAGTTTCAACGTGATTTTGATTAGCCACGTTCGAGTGCACCGAAAACAGCTACGACGAAAGATAACGAAATGCCACAGATTGAAGGTGCGCAAGATAGTAGAGGAAGTAGGCATCTCGGAAAACGTTAGTTACGAGGTCATCGATTCGGAATTATGATGTATAGTTAAAAACTATTGGCTGTGAGGGGGTCATAACGCATCCTTCCCATCGTCTATTCCGTTTTTTCAATTCCCTAACGCTGCTACTTGCTTCGTATACATTTCTATTTACCTAACACTCTATCCATCTGGGTTATTTATCTTTAATATTGTATGGAAAACCCGAATCTTGGTTTGTTGAGAGCTACGGTCGAAACCATTATCTTAAGAGTATATTTTCAGTTTAGTACAAGATGGCCTAATTCCAAATATTTGCGACTAAGTTGCTCAAAAAGTCTACAACTAACGAAATTCTATTAAAACGTGGAATATTTGAAATATATTTAGAGATTTTTTTAAAGTGTTTTCCTTCAATGTAAGGAAGCGGAAATATGAGTTCAATACTAACGACATCCCTGAAATTATCAAGTATGATACCGAAAAATTGCGTCTATCCTACTAACACATTGTATCTACATACATAAACTTTATGAAATTAGGCAAGGCGGAGCTCTCATTATACGCATACATATACATATGTATGGTATAATACAAGAGTTTGAAAGAACTGTAAAGGTATACCTTTACAATGAAGTCATATCCTAAACGTCATTGGGATAGTTCACAAAGGCTTTTAGGCTGTTTACCGTCCTTAGTACAACTTTACAATTCTTCTAACTACTTCGTATATGAAGGCGCGAACTAGTTTCCCAATTTCCCTGAAATATTTTACTTCAACACTGAAGTCAAACGTTCAATCATTGATAACGGCATAAGTTATCTTAAAAGTATAAATTTTTAATAGGTTTTTTAGTGGTTTGGAATTGTTGGCATAACAGAAGGTGTCAAGTGGGCTTCTGCTCCAGTCAACAAGTCCATAACCCTTCTAGTAGGCAGTCAAGCGGCAATTAAGCCCCAATACAAAGTCTGCTCTGCGTTAGGTTATGCAAGCAGGCAATAACTAGGCTCTCAGTAGGTGAATTAATATCATGTGGATATCATATGGGAATAGAAGGAATTGAAAAGGTAGACGAGTTGGACCGCTCGGTAGTTGTCCCAGACCATTCAGCTCCTTCAAGGGTTATTTGGAGAGAACCCTAGAGGCACACTTTTGGTCTTGGAACACTAACGACACAGAACATACCACGAAGTTACTTTGGAGTAGTGTTAATGGTGGACAGACCTTAAAGCTTCTACTTCTAAGGAAAACTGAACTTAGTAATATTGTAGGGATCATCACAGGGCACCTACCCCTAAGGGGGAATTCTAGTCTAGAAATTTTAAAATATCTAAACAAATTTTCTTCCATATTTTGATAGTTTGATTATTCAACAATATCTCTCTAAAACGGTTTTTTTTTTAATTCAAATTATTTTCAAAGTTAGAGCCGTTTTAGTGTCATTGCAACTTGGTCGGTTAAGATTTAACTTAAAAGTTCTAAGCGCGTTTTTGACGAAACTGTCCTTTTCAAAACGATACCCACGATTTCTTAGGTTCTACTGGATCGATTGACCTGAAATTTTATGAGAGTCTTCTTTATAAACTTGTCTATATCCGGAACTAGCCATATACCCAAATTTTCTATTTTTAAAAATTCGAAACAGTCAAAAAAAAAGTTAAAAAAATTTTCACCATTTCGTAAAACCTTTCCTTAGTTTCAGACATTGCGACATTATTTGTTATAAATATTTTTATTTTTTTTTTGGTTTCAGATTGCTAGGAGGGTTGAAATCATTGGTATGGTCACGTGCCAATTTTTTCTGCCCACTTCATCAGCTGCTAGATTTAGAAATTTTTAACATTTTTATTTAATAAATAAAAAAATTGATGGTAAAAATATGAATTGCCTTTTTTTCGACAGTTCAAAAATTATCTGAAATTCATGCTTCTAGACAAGAATACTCTTTTAAGATCTCACCTTCAAAAAATTGGTAAAGTGCATTCGGCGGAATGCACGGCATGTGCGGAGGATGTTGAGACGTGGGAGCATTATCTTTGCGAATGCCCTGCTTTCAGCCGGATGAGATAGGATATATTCCATGGAGATGTTTCATTAAGAGACATTGGGCAGCTGAGGTGGAAACTAATTGGGTATTTTACCAAATCTACTTTAATTATCAAAACTTTGCTAAATTAAACCAACTTCTCCTGGAAATATCCAGACACTTTCTCCTCCAGTGTCTTTTTGCCTTAGCTGGGTGAAACATCTCGGCAGTCTTACCTTCGGCGAACTAGGAGACATAGCCTAAGTTGACATTAACCGTTTCAGCGAATTTGTGATAGGCTCAAAGCGCATTGTTAATCTGTGAGAGCTTTATGATCCATTATATTGCGTTTTAGGTACCACAACGGACCGGCATTCTAACCTGTCCAAGAAAGATCCCTTTTAGGATCGACTTCTTAACCTAACTCAACCTAACTCCTTAATAAAACATGACAAGCAAGTGTATAAAGAAAATAACCGCAACAAATAAGTGCAAACGTTGAAAATGCCCTTTCTCCACCTTAAAATTCTTGCAGAAATAAGAAATTTCTAATCGGGTACCACTTAAAATATGCAAGATTCTGAACATGCTCCTTGGTATAAATATATTTACTGCACTAAAAAGGTATTTGCAAAAATCATAAGAAAAATATCTTAAGTATGCATATACTTTACACTTTAGACTATTAACCACTTAAATCATGGAGTATTTATTAGTTTTGATATACCAAAATAGTTTTCATATAACCTATCTTAATAATAAATGAAAAGTATTTTCCTGAAATTATACTTGATTTTAATAATTTGAGTCAGCACTCACAAGGCAGAAATAAACGTTAAAAAAGTAGCGTTTTTACAAATGCATGATGTACTCGTACATTCTAATTTCGGGGTAAGAATTTCTTTATTTGCACAAGATATTTATTTGTAAACTATAATTGAACTTACCGTTTAGTGACAAGTGTTCGACATGAGATCGCACGCAAATTTAAAGAAGCTTCGAACATTTTCTGGAAAGTGAGACTGCGTGAAGTTCATGTTGACCAACTGCGTTGCTTGCGTAGAGGGTGCATTTTCCAAGGTGAATATGTTGAAATTTTGGTTTAATGATTTTTTAGGACTCATTATTCAGTCAAAGAACAATCAGAAGACTTAAATATGCTTATATCCATTCGCTTTGTACTCGTTGATAAGTTTTTGTTTATTATTTCACGCGCTTTGTACTGTTATATTTTACATTTTTTTGTTTTTGTGACCTTATTTTTCTTCCTACTTATACTTAATTATTTTATTTACAAATTTGATCATTTCCTTAAAGTTTAGTAATTATTAAATAGGAACTTTATTCTTAATTGCCCTTATTGAAGGAGCATATTACATAGCAGTTTATTAGGAAAAAATGATGTTATCAAAATGTGCCAAATACGAGTGATATGGTCCTGTAAGTAATACAACATTTATATAGATAGCTATGACAACGCGGTGATGTTATATACATATATATAAAGATATATATATTATATATTATATATGTATATATATATATATATATATATATATATGTATATTATAAGGTGTATCAAATTATATGCGCCCAAAACGTGTACGATATTTTTTTGGCTCATAACTTACAGTAAGTTTAAAAAAAACTTTTCATAACAGTTTGTAATTGTAACTATTTTAAGTAGCGTGGTCATCAAACTACGAGATGTTATGTTAATAACATAAGAGTGTTAATATGTATGTAGGTATTTTTAGCAAAGATATCAAGTTCAAGCTGTTATAATTCAAGAAATGAAAACCTCCAAATAATTAGTTTCAAGTTTTAACCGGATATTAGCTGGCTTCGATTCACCATTTCTCTGCTCGCTTCTTCTCTCTTGTCAAAAAAATTACATATAGCAGCAACAACAAAGGAATCGAGTTGAATTCGTACAAGAGAGTATGCGCACACCTTATTAAAAGGATATAGCTGCTATTTTCAATGCTACCAATTTTTGTTTTGCATATTTTAGGTTAAGTTTACTATAGTGAATGGCTTAAGGCTTAAAATCAAATATAGTAATTTATAGAAAACAAAAATAAAGGGTTACGGCAAAGTTTTAAACACAAAAAAAAATAAAAGAATTTCTCCACTAAGAACGAATCATAACACTATTGTACATGCGTCAAAAGACATGTTAGCGCAGGGTTGCACCACATGTGCTGCCCGTTTGTTTAAGGATCTGGTATCATTTGTTCGATTCTCTGGAGAGTAACGCTTGGCGAATCAAAGACAGATATTACATTGCAAAAAATAAATTTTTTGGAATTTTTTCAACTAGCGTTGTATTCATATTTGATTATCTAACGATATAATTTTGATTTTTAGATTTCAGATGATATATCACCGAATTATGAGGGGCACTGCAATTCAACTTTTTACCGAGACGCCACAAAGCAATTGCTGCTATTGCCGCATTATAAAATGACCTTTTTGACATAACCATTTATATTTAATTTCCAATTTCTTATTTTGGATAATATTCAAAAAAACTTGCCTCAAAGCCAATTGGGATTGTGTGCTTTAATAATAAGACATTAACTGCACTATCAAAGAACGTTTGTATATAAAAAAAACGTTAACTATAATACCCTCACAGGTGCATTTCTGATAAAAAAAAAAACTAATGTACAACTAAATCTGGAAAAGTACCTAGGCAACGCTGTGGTTGTTTTATTTAACAACCTTTAAGTCGAATTAAGGTTATTTAATAAGGACAAAATATCTTTCATGAAGATATATCCTGATTCTGATCGTTCAGTTCTTATGGCAGCTATATGCTATAATAGTCTGATCTGGAACATTTTTTCAAATATTGTATCACTGCTTTAGAGAATAATCCATGTAAAATTTCGTGAATGTTGTCAAATAGAAAAAGTTTTCCATACAAGAACTTGATTTTGATCGTACAATTTGTATGGTAGCTATATATCATAGTAGTCCGATATCGGCGGTTCTAACAAATCAGCAGCTGCTTGAAAGGAAGAAGCTGAAGGACTAGTTTGCGTATTATAGAAAGACACATATACAGAAACACAGACATCATTTATATACATATGTATGTCTTTTATATGGTCTCCGACGTTTTATTTTGTATGTTACAAACTACACAATGTTTTCTGACAATGGTGTATGAGTAGACTAATGTGTGTGTGTATGTCAACACATTGGCTAAAACGTATTGCATCCTTCTGTATTTTCTCTACTCTGAATTTTTTTTCTTTGGAATAATTACTTCACTTTTTCGTCAAATTTCGTTAGAATTTTATTTGATTTTATTAAATGTATATTGATTTTATACTGGTCCATTGCCAGCTGACTTTACTTTGAAAGCTTCTATGGCAAATGTTGTTTTAAAACGCCACCATTTGAACGAAACCAGGTATAAAACAGAAATGTTATAAGACGGCAAAGAGCGCATTCGATTATGCATGCATTTGAAGCTTATTCTTATTTGAAACAATGCAGGAAGTGCATAACAACCGAAAAGTTGGACCTGACATAAAATATTAAAAGGAGAGTTAAAATAAATATATAAGTGTGTATATAACAAATTAAAGCAGTGGAACAAATCAGCATATTACTTTATTTGAAAGCATATTACTCCATACAGCAGGCTATTGGTCTTACATGTTGTTATAAACACAAAAAAATGTATAAACATGACTGAATTTAAAAAATAAACGAAATAATGAAAAATCTAATTTTTATATTTGTCCATAGGTGATAGCTGTAGAATCGTCGTATAGAAAACAGGTTGCCATAAACAACCAGTTACCGTAGTAATCATCGGTAATTACTTTTACAATAAAACATTGAAGGTAACAACAACGCACATCTATTTATATAGCTATATGTATATGTATATTATATTTATATAGGTAAGTGAAAGAATGCTAGTAGGTACGTGATGCAAACAAATAGTAATTTTAATGATTGCAAGAGCAGGCACATGTAGTACAATAGATGAATTTTTATAAAACGTATATGTATGGTTATATCTTACTACTTCTTGCAGGACACTATTGCGATGGATTGTACATGAGAATAAACTATAATTATATGTGTATACACATATGTATTTATGGGTAGTCTCATCTAAAATAATCCAAGGAAGACTATGTGAAATAAAATTAAAAAAAAAAAAAACAAGAAAAAACGTTAACATAGGTTGCACCGTAATTAAAATACCCCTCACAAATACAAAAGATTCCATTTAAGTGACTGATTTTGATCAGTAATTTTGTATGGCAACTATATGCTATAGTGGTCCGACCTGAAGAATTTCTTTGGAGATTCTTCGGACTGAAGCACTAGTTCGCTTTTATACAGACAGACGGACATGTCTTATTCGTCTCAAGTCGCCATACTGATCATTTATATAGGTATATTAACATATTATTGGGTCTCCGACGTTATCTTATGGGTTTTACAAACTTCGTGGCAAACCTAATATACCCCGTTTAGAGTATAACAAACTAAGCGTATTTACCGTATTAACCTCAAATTATATAAAATTACACTAGTGCCACTTCTTAAAATTCTTAATAATTGCTCCACTCTCCCTCTGATTAGAAAAAGTTAATTTTTTGATGAATATAAAAAAAAAAAGATTTCCCTTTGCTTTAATTATTATATCGGAATAAATAGCAGAGAAATGTCAACATTATGTATGGTTGGTTACCGTTACAACCGTGTATTTTCAGTCCACGAGCTCTACCACTAAGTGGATCATAGGTTCAAATACTTAGTGGTGAGTAGGACTTTTAAATTTTATTTCGATTTTTTTGAAATTAACGCATAATATCTCCAGACTGTTGTGTCAAAATTCAAGTCAAGTCGATTGGTATAAAATTTACAAAATTGATGAAAAATACTCTTGACATTTTTATACCTGTCTTATGAACGTTTTACATCTGATTTCAAAACTTTAAAGCGTTTTCCTCACCAATCGTTTAAAATTTTGAATTCTATTTCTACATATAATGTACGAGGAAATGCTAGATAGTTTTTCTAAATTTGTAAATTTTCGCAATAACAAACTAACCAATTTTTTTTATTGTTAAGTACGTATCAGAGAACAGTGATCTTAGCTTTTTAATTAAAGGCAAATTATGTGAATAATCGGTTGTATTGGTGTTATGTGATATACATAATTGTCCGATCTGGCCGATTCCAACAAAAGATCATTATAATATTGTATCAAAATGCACCTATGTATTAAATTTCATTCGGATATCTCAAAAACTGTCGAAGAAATTTTGATAATTAAAAACAAAGTTGTTCAGAATAATCCGATGATGACATTTCCCACATATGCAATTTTATAGAAAAAAATCGACCCGCTATAATGTACATACTTGTATATATATTTACATAGCAAATAGTTTTCACTTCATTAGCAAAACATTTTATTTTCGCAACAATGTTTCGTACTTGCTGGGATGGCATTTATCGTAACGACTTTTAACGGTACATAAATGTAAGTTCAGTGGCTTTGGTATTTTGCGCTTTTTTAGAACAATACCCAGCATTGAAAGAATAAACGCGGAAACTAAACATATACACCGTGTAACGCTTAAGGTCTTTGGGTAAGAAAGGGATGAACAATTACACATACACAAGAGTTTCGGTTAGAATTGTCGATTGGGCCTTAAAAAACTCATAGATATTTTAACAGAAATCTCTGGCATTTAACCAATATGTGGCTTGTAGAGTAAGAAGCTGAATCAAACTAATTTTCGTTTATGAATGTTTTTTTACTATCAACAAATACTGTACCGTTACTAAGTGGCTACAAAAAATGTTTACAGGAATCTTTACTCACAAAAGTATTTTGCTTCTATTTAGAATTTGTTATTGGGTCCGGCTTTTGTTTTCTTACATTTCGCTGCTCCGGCGACTAAGAGAAACAATAACAAATATTTTTGGTATGTTTAATCGGTGTCGACAAAAGTTAAAAAATTATATAAAACGATATAAGGACTGCGGTAGTTTAGAAAATAGCAATCGTGGTTTTCGCCCAAAGTTGTTGATAGAGGGAGAAGAACGCAGAATATTGCTGGAAAACCCACATTTATCATCATCAAAAATTAACTCAAGCCAACACTGTACACTCAGGAGTAACAATATACAATTGTGTTTTGAAATTTTGATTGACAATATTCTGTAATGAAACTAATTACAATATTTTTGGGTCGGATGTTCGGCGTATGGTTTGGCGGAAGACAAAGGAAAAGCTACAGAATAAAAACGTGAAACCAACAGTTAAATACGATGGAGAATCCGTAACGGTATGGGATTACATGTCAGCTCAGGCAGTCGAAAATTATCTATTCATAGATATGGACAAACATCTTTATTTGTCCATACTCAAAGAGTGCGGAAAAATGGGTATGAAAAGTAACGGGTTTTAATTTGAACATGAATATGAGCCGAAACATACAGCTCAATACGTTAAAATGTGGATTCTATTTAATATGAAACATTTCCCATTACCCATGACTGAAAATCGATGGTCCTATCTGGAAAATAAGGTCCGGACTCACCAAATTTCGTCGAAAAGTACGAAAGTCAAGCAAAAAAATTATGCTGTACACCAACTTACAATGATTAACACCAACTTAATCATTGTCAAGACGCTTGGAAGCTGTTTACAAGACAAACAAAGTAATAAATAATCTGTAAATAAAGATTTACATGGTTAGAAAGGAAATACTTCTGTGAGCTATTATTATTGGAGAATAAATGATGTGTGCAAAATTTTAGAACGATATCTCAAAAACTGATGGAATAGTTCGCGTGTATACAAGCAGACGGACAGACATGTCTAAATAGACTCAGCTCCCCACGCTGATCATTTACATAAATATATATTTTAGAGGGTCTCCGACGTCTCGTTCTGGGTGTTACACAATTCTAGGCGTATAATAGTTAGTTTTAATGGAAGTGACTTATTTATGTACTTACATTTTGGAAAACACTCATTGAGTAGTAAGCGCTAAAAAAATGTAACTAATGTGAAATACATTAAAAACGTATCCTGATTGGAAAGGAATTTTGTGGGTTTTTTGAGTTAGTTTATTTCAAGCTCATATATATAATCTAATCGATCTAAATTCATTTATTTTTAAACTTTTTTACATTGAGAACATACCGTTTTCTAGTATAGTTTGTTTTAAAAATACTTACTGTATTTAGTATTTAGTTATCTCAAATGACAGTTTCATGTTTTTTAAACAGATTACTAGCCAAATTGATTGCATGAAATATAAAGACAGAAAAAATTAGTAGAGATAAAAATTATAGTCTCTGCAAACAACGCTGTAGTACCTATATATGAACAGCATGACGAGCTGAGTCGATTTTGCCATCTCCGTCTGTCTGCCTGTATAGCTTAAGACCTTGTATGAAAATTTTTATATAGGTTACTGTCTAAAACAACGCTACAATCTCCGAACATATTATTCAGATCGGACTACTATAGCATTTAGCTGCTATACAAGCTGACCGATCAAAATAATTTCTTATCGATCTTTTTATCCCCTTTTATTGAAGTGTTTGTTGTCTTAAAGTTTCAATCATAAATTATTACATACTTATATAATTTGTTCTGGTCGTAAAGCCATCTATTGTGCATATTTACTTAATGTGGAAAACTTATTATGATTTACAAAATGTATTGCAAATTTGTGAAAAGCATTTCTTTTTATCTATTCAATTATCGAATTCGAAAATGCCGCAAATGCGTTATTTGAATTACAGTACGATTCACAATTATTTAATTATCTAATCCTTTTGATCTTTTGAATGGTCAGTCACAGCTGCCTGTTAACATTGTTACAAAGACGACTGGCCCGCAAAACATTAAGACAAATATGCACGGATTCACCCAAAGTAATTTTCATAAACAAGGCAAACAACCCAAACCAAAATTCTATGTGGCATAGGGTAACATAGCACTATGACTGACGTAGACAATAAAGTCACGAGTATTGATTTCTATAAACTAAAAAACGGGAATCTACATGCACACTGCTGTACATTCTAATAAGTTCAAGTTTAATAGGACGTGTATATACATACATATGTATGTACATATAGTGACTGACATAATTAAATAAACCTTCTTATATATGTACTCCATTAAATTAATGTATTGTTATACCCTGAACAGGGTATAATTATTTTTAAGTTTCATAGAGAATCCGCCATATATATTTAGTACTATTTGCATGATTAAACATTTGACCAGGTTGATAGAGAATCCGCCATATATATTTAGTACTATTTGCATGATTAAACATTTGACCAGGTTGTTAGGCAAACTCGCTTACTTATAGTTATATATACCCGATCAATATTCAATGTTAAGCACATATTGATTTTTATTAAAAATGTTTTACTTATTTATCTAATATACTTGTATAAAATTCTCGTGTCCCGGTGTTTGTTGCCAAAGTTATCCGAAACGGCTGGACCGATTTTAATGAAAATTGTTTTTATTTGTTTTTGGACAAAAGTTTTGGCTTTTTTTTGTCATGATTCAACATTAAAACTATACTATATTTCTAAATTTTCACCGCACCTGATTTTTATTTTATTCGGTTCCATCCACAGATCATCACAATTTTATTAATTAATAATTTAAATAAAGTATACTTTAATTGTCTACAAATCTTCATTCCTCTATAAATTATAATTACAACCTCCACCCATGTAAAAAAAAAATTACTTAAAATAACGTATATGGCAAAACAACGTTTGCAGGGTCAGCTAGAAATTATATAAAAATTTTAGCATTTTCAAACATCTGGTGAATTCTTCCTGGTTCCTAGCATTTTTTTCTGTCTTCGATTTTTTTTCTTCAAAGTCAAACACCATTTTTTTTTGGTTTTCTTTCGTTATTTTGTTAAAGAACGCACGAAAAATTAAACAAATAATAAAACAAAACCATGATTTAAAATATTTATTTCAAAAACCGGATTTATTAGGAATAAATATTTAAAGTGAAATATTCACTCGCGATCTATCAATTCTCAATATGGATCACGATTCAATTATCACGTAAAACTTTTTATATTAATAACGCTAAATTTAATCGAGGTCTCGAAATTAATTAATTTTCTTGGTAGTAATTTAATTTAGTTTTTGTATAATTTCGTATAAAGCACAATTTAATATTTGTTTATATTTTTCCTGTCACCGCATAATAATTAATTGAATATATTTTAAAGTGAAACTAATAAACGCACACAAATATTTTTTACTATGCATATATATTTATATTTTATTATATTTTTCATTATGAATGTTTATATTTTGTTTGAATTTTCTTGCTTTAACTACAAGGTGTTCACAGTTTCCGTCGTTAATTTTCAATTTACTGCAGCATTTATGCAGAGTTTGCTTGCTTGCGCTAAAGCATACATTTAAACTTTTCGTTACACTTTCTTCACAACACAAAGTAGTAACAAAATGTGTTATTTTACTAAACCCAGATTATTTAGATAATACAGTAAATAGTATTTTAATATTTTTACCACTTATCATTAAGTTGTTACTTTTTTATTAGGGCACAATAGACCCTAGGTCGCAGTGCATACCTCATTTTCAATCTACTTTTTTATTTAGAAACACAACACGGACACGAAATCGTAGATAGTTAACAAAATTGCTCACACACACATGTACGAGTACCATTTTTTAAGTAACATATTTGGGATAATTACTTTTATATTATTGATTATTTTGCAAATAGCATTCACCGTGGATACTTACGTAATTAATTCACTCATATCACCATACACGACGCACTTTTTGATGGAACTTGACACGATTAATTTATGTCTTACATATGTACGAGTACACTAAAAGATTTACAGAAACGTTTTAGAAGCGCGGTTTATTGCGGAAAACGGCTGCATTTGTGTTAATGCTAAATCACCATACTTTGTTTTCCGACTCCAACCAACATTATGTACATACCTATGTTGTAAATATGACGAACCATTTGGCAAAAAAGTATATATGCACTCCTATAAAATGTTGTAGGATATATGCTCATATTTACATATGTGCATATGGATACACGTATGTATTGTGCAGATAGGTTTTTGCATATGTATAGATATTTCCTTAGATTGTGTGTTTTATTAAGGGTTGAAAGCTGAAATTCGCGATTATAACTAACGACTTTTATTTGTATCTGTTTTTTGTTTAAATGCGCGCATTCCATACGCTGTGCAAAAAAGTTTGGCTTGGGAAATCTTCATTTCCAATCCCAGAAGGGTTGGAAAGTAGAATTTGCATGTAAGTGTAAATATGTGGATTCCCGCAAACTTCCATACATTCATTCATAAGCTATCAAATTATAAAAATGTATATAAACACATACATATTTATTTGGTGACAGATGGGGTGAAAGCCAACATATCATACAGGTCAACAAACAATGATTTTGAGCTGGCGCTGCAAACACATAATTTACTCATATTTAAGGACAGATTTAATAGCTCGTTGCTGAATGTAACATTGGCAAAATAACTAGTGCACTAATAACGGGCGTATACAAATAAAAAATAGTAAAAAAATTAAATAAAAATTATAATTTAATTTCATATATGATTTTTTTCCTTAAATTTACCAGTTCATATACATATATAACATAAGCACGTACGTATGTATACCGATGATTCAGAATGATAAAAATTTCACATAGTAATTGTATATTGAACGTAATAAATGCAATCAATAACGACTTCGATCCCTAAAACAAAGATATGCTTTTGGTGGCAATATTATTTATGATTTATGGTTTATGGCTTATTGTTGCATAATGAACAGTCTACCTAAATTAAATAATAAAATAAAACAAACTGCTTGACTGGCATGATTGAATTTTGGTACACAGGTGGTAAGTGAATAGATCAGCCGTTAATACGCAAATTTTAAGCAATAGATGTATTATTTATTCTTTATGATTGAAAGTGGTACGCGATACCATAAGCAATCACAACTCAACTGTAAAAGTTCACAGCGAAACATTACTTTGGAAATATTAGCTTGTAACAATGTTTTAAAGGAATTTCACATTTTTTATTGAAAAAATAAATGTTTATTGAAAAAATAAAAATAAGCCCGAGATGAGTTGAAAAATAATGATATCTGGCTGGCACTTGAATATTTTTTTTTCTGCTCACTTAAATATTTTCATTTCAGATCCCTTAAATATTTTTGTTATATGTTTTGTATATTTTTAGTCCATATAAACAAGTTAATTTAAATTCTGCTATTATTGCTCTTTTTACCGATATTACCGGTTCTGATTTTTATGGAGTTGAGGAATTCATTTATTCCTATTAACTATCAAAATCTAAACGTACAGTTTTAATGAAAGGTTAATAGCATAACCAAGCTTGTATTTTCCGGTGAACTATTAATAAGCCGGGACTGACAAAGCGTTTTCTTTATTGTGTTATAGTACCACCGTAATACCTAAGTACATATATTGTTTATGATATAGGAAAGCACTGGCACTCTTATTCTTTATATATGCGAGATACTTTTGGTGCATAGGTATAATTTGTAGCAGTTGAAACAGTAAAAAGTATCGGAGGCATTATCCGCGCATCCTTCAACGTAAATTCTTAACTTTTTATATATTTGTAGTTAATGCACATCTATTTTTTAACTTTATTACACATTATTCTTTACAGAAAATTTATTTTATGGATATATTTATTAATTTATTTTATGCATACATTTATTGGTATGTTAAGCATTACAAAATATTTTTGGTTTATGTTATAAATAAACACAATAGTTATTTTATTTATAAAATATTAAGGTGTACATATATCAATTTTGGGCGAATGAGCCACGGACGCGTATGTATTCGCACTATCATATATAAAACGTGAGAAATTTGACGCGTAAAAACATACCAATACGCAAAACATCGACACTTCACCACGCAGCGTCAATTTGTTACTATTCCTCCAAACAGCGGAAATATTTTTTTGGTAGCAAATATGATCATGTGTATGCTAGCCGTAACCGTAAAAGAAATATATTCCGAACAAGAAATTTACACTCCACGCAGTACACAAACCACCGAAATATCAGCCGTAAAACGCAAAGGAAATACAAACGAAACAAAAGGAGAGTAAAATAATAAAGCACATCAAAGAGAGTAATGAGCGGAAAAAGTGCTGAGAGTACAAAAAGTAGTGGGTATAGTGGTGAGCAAAAAAGTAAAAACGACGTTCCAAATGAGCGTGTGAGTAATTGAGAAAATGAGTGCACGCAAGTGAATGAGCATACAAAAGTGACTGGTAACATCTAAAGAAATGAGTGTTTTTTATAGTGGGAGTTGAATGTGCGTAGTGCTCACAGATTTTAAGGTGCTCTATGGTGTTTCGTAGGAAAAACATATGCATATGCCTATATGAGTAAGTATTTATGCAGCTTATATTTGTTTATGGTGTTGTGCATTTGATTTGGTAGTTAGAAAAGAATCTCAGGTAACGGACACAAGAGACAATTTTCTGTTTATACGAAAAAATAACGTATTAACGAAGAACTCATCGTTAAATTACGACATACATGCATGTCCACATACATATTTAATTTTATTTATGTATACCTGTGTCTACTTAACTATCTTAATCATCTCTGTTTGATTTTATTTTACATCTATTTATTAATTTTTTCAGTAGCATGTGAGCAACTCTCTACTCTACTATAGAAGACTTTTATATTTTTATATAGACACATACATACATACCACCTACATACTTACACTTATGGACAAAATAATAGGTGTACACAGTTATTATTTAATAACTTTGAAGTATTTGCAATTAAAACAATTTTGTTCTAGACATATTTACGCTTTACTTTATTATAATTGACGCCGAATTGTCCGCGAGCTAATATTTAGTCCAACTCCCACTTCAATTTGTCGTGAAGTCACAAAAGTGTTCTTTTTTGCCATGAGAAGTATACAGAATCCAGCCAGTTTTTCTTGGACGACCACGAGTTTCCTTTTCCTTTAGTTACGTTTTTCCGTCATCACGCAATTTTATTTTACCAATCCACGCTTTACAACGGTATAGTGGCTTTTACGACCCATTCTAAATAATTTATTCTTTTTAGTTTATGGTGTTCAAAGGAATTTAAAATTACAAATACTCCAATACTTCGAACAGCATTGATAACTTGTCATTCAAACGCAAAATTACAAAATAGTAATGAAATGTGTTGATACTTACGTACTACTCTTTCGCCTTCATCGTAAAAATATAATGGTATCAAAAAAAAAAAAAACCAATTACAACACCATTTGGCAAAAAACATTACCAGCCAAATGCACACCTATTATTTTGTCCATAAGTGTATGTATATGAAAGAACAGTTTATGTCAACCTCATTTTAATAACGCGTCGTGTAAATAAGGTCAATTCGAAATCTATGAAAGAAAACCCAAGTTCACCCTTGTTTTTTTTGTTATGAGCAGCACGCTGTATTTAATACGAGTAAATATACAATAATAATATACTTGTACTATTACTTATAATTAATATTAAAATCATAAAAACGGTGGATAATAAAAATATTCCGAATATACCAGTTTGACCGTTGACTATTTAGTTTAAAAATTATTTGTCGGTATTTTCAGAGAATCTTTCAAAGATATTCTAATTTAAGAATATGTATGAATGGTAAGGAAAAAATACCCTTATCCCTTAAGAGAGATTTCTAATTTATCATAAATAATACAAATAATAATGAATAAACTAATTTTAATTAGTTTTTCTTTTTTATATTAAAACAAATATAAACCACATAGAATTGGTTTGCAAGACCAGCTCCGTGAAACCTGCAACTTCAATGAAACTATAAACAAAATTTTAAAGACTTGAATTTCCATAGCTAGACTTCGATAATAACAAAATTTTGCGTTATCTAACGAAGCAGTTTTAGATTTCTGAAATGAAACTTATTTAAGTAAATAACTTCAAATATTCATTATGTTTTTCTTATATTTAGTAGTAATTTTAATGTTATTAGTTGCCACACAAGCTGGAACTCGGTTCTTTCGAGTATTGACCGCCAAAATCGCTTTTCTATTATAAACAACGACTGATTTTTTGTAATGCATGTCTGGATATCTGCAGTTTATTTGCCTCTTGATTTGACATTTTTGAATGAACGAACACAAATGTTAACTATTGTATATGGTATATGTAGGTGATATTTTATGGTTATTAAAGTTATTACTTGCTGTACCTAATTAATTTGAATCATATTTAATTAAAAATGATAATAGCTATTCATAAATTTTTTTGCATACATGTGAGCACGTCAGCGGAAAATTTAGAATTTTGGGGGTTTTGAAAAAAAGATTACTATCAATTTTTGAACAAAAAAATCTTCGTCATTACAACAAAATAAGTATTTATAACAATTGTTTGTGTTTGTAACTATGCTTGCTTTAAAAAAAACACATAAATACCGGATTGAAAATATTAATCCCAAGCATATAATTAAGAAATAAATGAAGCAAAATCCTTTAGAATCAACATTTTTTCGGCTTTGCGTACTTCGTGTTCTATCATTTTGAACTAGAGCTCGCACAGAGCCATCATCTTCAATAAACTGGAGCATTGGGCGACAAACTTACACATTAAAACGATTTATGTGTATATTATCAATTTTTAATTCTGATTTTGGGATTAAAAATTAAAATAAAAATTTTTCTATTAAATTAAAAAATAATATCTACAACTTTTAATTTTTAATCCCAAACATCTTGGGACTTAATATAATTATATTCTATAATATAATATTATATCATATTAATATTTACAAATTGACCTCACAAATATTAATATACTTTGATTATTTTTGAAAAAAAAAAAAATCATATAAACGAGTTTGTACAGATGACAACATATTTTCGTCTATTTACTTGAGTTAGCCTCAGTCTAGTTTCAATTTCTTTTCCCAACAAAACTGTATACATATTGTATTACGTTTTTTAAATTTAAACTTATTTATAACACCTGAGAAACATATTACTTCAATTAACATTTTTAATACAAATTATAGTTACACATTATACAAATTATGGTTTTTGTACAAATACATACTTACATATATGAGAATGATAGCTCATCTGTCATACACTTGGATGTTATGCAAATATTGCATCTGAAATAACTAAACTTTCGAAAGTCACATCCTACCTGTTGCTAATGCGCACTGCGCACAAACAATGTATACATATTTACTAATTACTGTAGAAATACATAATACTGCGAACCAATTAAAACGCTAGCTTTATAAGCGACTACAAGAGCATGAAGTCAAACGAAAAGGCTGAGAAAATGGGGCGGGATTGTAATGATACTTGGGGAGGCTGCAGCATGTACTCAACTAACCGAAACCA